TCGGGCGAAAATTGCCCCTAGACTCCGTATACACGGGGTCGAGTAGCTGTCTACCTCCCCAGACAAGACTCTGTTCTTTGGCGTAGCATCATCTCGGTTCCACTATGCCCAAAGACAGAGTCGACAATCAGAGTTTATAGTAGTCGTTATTTCTTTGGTATTTATTAGAAACGCCCTCCCACAAGGCGGGATGTGGCACAAGGCCAGTATTTTTACGTAGGTGTTCCGATCCCGTAGGCTCCAGCAAAAATTGCACATTGACCCCGTATACACAGGGTCCGGTAGCTATCTACTCCCCAAGATGAATCTCTGCCCTCCGGCATACCTTCGCCAGGGTTCCTCTCTGCCCGAACTCGACAGTAGAGTTAATGGTAATCATTATCTCCTCGGTATTAACCCGAGACCTCCCCACAAGGCGAGTGGGGTACAAGGCCGGTTTTTTTTTAAGTTGGGCATTCCGAGCCCGTAGGCTCGGGCAAAAAATTGCCCGTAGACCGCGTACACACATAGTCGGGTAGATGTCTACCTCCCCAGACGAGACTCTGCCGTTCGGTATAGCCTCGTCTGGATTCCTTTCCGCCCAGAGGCAGGGACTTGACAAGCAGAGTTAACTGTAATCGTTAACTCTCCCACCCAGTATGAGAGAGAGAGAGTGCATTTTAAACAGTCTTAGATAAATCTATCCTGTAGGGGTGTTCAGCTATTCCACAACAGTTACATTCGCCATTCCTATGTATTCCTTTGGTAAAAGTGCGTACCACCACAATCGCTTATCCCCAAGAACCGATACTTTGTGTAACTGACTTCCGTATAAATGCTTCCCTGAACAATATAATGTTTACTTTTTCAGGTTTAGGATCAAACTTTATCTATCCTCCATATCCTTGTAATATTTACTTCCCACTTCCTCTTTTTACGTTTATATCAAGACACCTCATTCCCCAGCACTCTAACTTGAGTGTCTCTTTTTAAACTATTTAGAGGAACCAAATATATTTAAAATCTAATACGCTATAAATCGTTACTTAACAAATTTACATAAAGAAAACGTTCTACTTACATCCCTAAAAAATTTTAAATTACTACAATCGTTATTTATAGGGCACACCCGTATTTAAGTAGAAGCTCGAGGGTGGAGGCTTGAAGAGGAAATAAATGCTGCTTAAAACAAACAGGGCGTCTACACATAGACGGGTAACCATTAAAATAACGTTTGAAGCTATACAAATACAAGACTAACCAAAACGGAAATAATTGACTACACTTATACGTCATCTTATATACACTGTGTCCATAAAGTTCGGGTGCACTTTAAAAAAATATATCTTTATTTGTATTTGCGATAGAAATAATTTGTAAAAAGCATTAGAAAGAAGTAAATCTCTATTTTTTAAGGTTTCATTGAATTTTTATTTAAATTTCCACATGTCCTCCATCATAAGCAATACAAAGGGTAATATGATTTTGCAGTTCACGGAAAACATTTGCCAACTGATTTGCAGTAATGCCTGAAATCACATTAGTTATTTTAGCTATAATCAAAACTAGGTTAAATTTTATAACATTTTTTACAGATTATTTCTATCGCAAATAGAAATAAAGTTATATGTTTTTTTAATGTGCACACGAACTTTATGAACACCCTGTATAATGGAAACGACCAGCGATTTGAAAAGTACAGACTGTACAAATAATTGGTAGTCGCCATTCTCCCACATGGATATGAAACGTGGACACGGTTGGCAGATACAGAGAGAAGGATCCAAGTGTTTGAGAACAAATGGATGAGAAAAAATCCTTGTAATTTTCGGAACAAAAAAAAATGATGAATTTGTGCCGAAAAGGTTTGAAAGTTTTGTGAGATACCAAAAAACTCTTCTCGCCACTGTCAAACGGAGAAAAATGGCGTAGTTTGGATACATTACAAGTCACGACAGCCTGAGCAAGACTCTCATGCAAGGCATCGTTGAAGGTGGACGTAGGAGAGGACGACGATGCAAAAAACCGGTTGGAAAATGTCAAAAGAAAATGGACAGGTATGACTGTACCAGAATTGCTGATGACTACCGTTAATAGACCGTTGTGGAAATGAATTAGTATTGCTTCTGCTTTAGGATCCGCCTACGATTACAAACGACAAAGGGTTGATAATAATGATGATAATTCATCTCCAATATCATGTTAATATCTAAATGTTGGCACCCACTGAATATAAAACCCGGCATGACAGAGTGGGCCAATATCTGTACTGGAAAATCTGCAACTTACAACGGGAAGGGAACTGAAAGAAACTGGTATGAACACAACCCAGACCCGGTTACGGAGATAGGACCTGTTACAATTCTATGGGACTACAAAATACACACTGACAGAACAATCAAGGCCAACCAGCCAGATATTAAAGACCACAAACAAAAACGGTGCCTCCTTATTGATATGGCAGTCCCTGCTGACTGCAATGTATCGTTGAAGATATTAAAAAAGTTGTCAAAATACAAGGAACTTGAAATAGAAATCTCGAAAATGTGGCATATGGGAACATCAACAATCCCTGTTGTAGTTGGAGCCCTAGGACTGGTTGGAAAAGATTCCAGTAGACTAATTGAAGGGATTCCTGGAAGTGCATGCCTCAAGGAGATACAAAAAATTGTTCTGACAAGTACAGCCCACACCTTACGAAGGGCTTTAACTATGTAATTTATTTTTTATTTTTTTTTTTTTTGTCAGTGGAAAGTGTCATGACGCCATTTCTAACCTTAGGTCCCTGGGCGGGACCCGGAAAGAAATATGTAAACGCCAGAAATCAAAGAAAATAATAATAATAATAATAGCAAAACTGAATATACCCACAGACATAACAAGGCAACGAAATAAGTGCACTGGAAGATATGCAAGAAGTATAAAATCTAAACAACTGAGAGATGGTATGATCCCTAACCAGACACATTTACCCAAAATAACGATTTAACTATCCTCTGGGATATGCCAATTCAAAGTAACAGGGAAATAAAAGCCAACAGATCTGATATGATCGTAAAAAACAAGAAATTCAGGAATTGTATGTTTATTGACAGCGGTACCATCTGAGAGAAACACCTGTACGAACATTATCAAGGACTGGAGATTGAGATTGACAGAATGTGAGGAATGAAGACAGAGGCGGTACCAATAGTGATCGGAGCACTGGGCCTCGTGAGAAAGAATGACAATTTTAATAACAGCTTCCCAAGTAAAATCAACACACCAGTTGGCCAGAAGATCACCCTACTAGGAAACATCCCATATACTAAGAAAAGGGCTATCAATTAAATGACAATTCTCCTATAGGGCCTAAGGACCATATTTTGGA